AATACGCCCCTGTACAAAAGTATAATAACTAGCGATTTATTCGGCTGTCACGCAAGCATCACAGCGCCGACTTTGGGATTCCCAGCTTCCAGCTTCACGACGATTTGTTTTGTTTTTGCTGTTTAAGTGTATGAATCAAAATATAGACAAAAAGAAAACCAACCTTGAATGGGCATGGGAACCAGCCATATCTGAATATTCTTAAGTTATTATCACTAATAGGAATAACATTATTAATATTAATAATTCATCAGATGCATCATATAAGGGTGTTAACCAATATCAATGTTAAAATAATGTTAAAATCTGTTTGTTTTAAATTTTTTTCTTTTTAATTAGAGTTATAAATGTGTTAAAATATTAATGTTAATAAAATAATGTTAAAAATCTGTTTATTTTATTAATTATTTTTGTTTTCTGTTTTTAATTTGAGTTAGAATAAACGGTTTTGTTTTTTTTTTCCTGGGCTCGTCTGACTATGTGTCTCCGAATAACACTGAAGCCTATTGGCTTATTGTGTTTTACCCCATGTTAGTTCATAGCACCCACTCTATCACATTTGTACCTTGTACAAGTTTGTACAGATCCTTGGGTGAGTGGGTTCTATACGTTGTTGGATCAAACTGGGGTTGTCCAAAAAGAGCATGTCTTTTGCGATCTAGAGCTTCGCATTCGCACAGTATGTGTTTGGCCGTTTCTGGTTTCTTGTGACATAGTCGGCACATGAGTTCCCCATTGTACATGCCAATTTTGTTCAAGTGTCCCTTTACTGGGGCGTGCCCAGTCATGAACCCTGTTATCACTTTCAACTGGTTCCTATTCATTAAGAGTAGTTCTCCAGTTCTTTTGGGACATGGTCTGCCTATGAAGGCTTTTCTATGTGCCTGTTTTGGGGTGCTTCCCCAATAGTTGATATGTTGTTTCCGAATCCAATCATTTATAAAACCCCGGACTGTACTTTTTGGTACTCCTGGGTTTGTGTCTGGTTCCGGTGTTTCTTCTGACCCTCTTTTTGCAAGTTCGTCAGCCTTTTCGTTGCCTTCGATCCCTTTGTGACCTGGCACCCAAAATAGTTTTACTCTATTTCGGTCTGCCAGTGTTCTTAGTTCTTCGATGCATTCCCATACCAGCCTCGACGTAACTTTCTGACTCGATATGGCCTTAAGTGCCGCTTGGCTGTCTGACATTATTTGAATATGCTGATTTTCGACAGCTCTTTCATTGTTCGTTTTTGCACATTGCAAAATTGCGTATACCTCGGCCTGAAATACCGAGGAATGTATTCCTATAGCATAGCTATGGTTAGTATCAGGGTTTTTGGAGAATACTCCTGCCCCAGTGCCTTCCGCAGTCTTAGACCCGTCTGTATACCAGGTTTGTTCCTGTCGTTGGGCATTGGGCTCCCTTATAGTGATCTCCGCTCTTTCCTGTATTAAAACCTCAAAGGGAGTATTAAAAGAGTACCTCTTGGTTATGTGGTCTGATCTCATGTCTAGCACGTCTCCTGTCACTAACCTTGAGATACTCATGTGACCTGGCCTAATGTCAAGATTTCCCAGTGTATTTCCTAATCTGTAAGTACCTAATCTTGCCTCCCCTTGTATCACATAGTGAAGAGGTGGGAGTCCTTTTAGTGCTTCCATTGCAGCAGTGGGGGTTGTTTTCATTGCCCCCGTTATTCCGAGGCAGGCAAGTCTTTGTACCTTGCTTAGCCTCGTTATTGCTTTCCTTTGCTGTGTCTTTGGCCACCACACCAAAGCTGCGTATGTTATTATGGGTCTCACCACCATGTTATAAAGCCAGTATACCATGTCTGGTTTTAATCCCCATTTTTTTCCAAAGGATCGCCTTGCCATCATTAATGAGGTTTCCGCTCTCCTTGTGGTTCTTTCTAGATGCTGGTTCCAGGTAAGTCTCGAGTCAATCATAACCCCGAGATATTTTACCTCCCCCTTAAGCTGGATGCTTGCACCTCTTAGGTTTAGAGGCCCTAGTCCCTCCAATTTCCTCCTGCGGATGAATGCAATTATGTCAGATTTGTTTGGGCTAATGTTTAGTCCTTCCGCCTCTGTCCATTTTGTTACTATATTTAGAGCCTCTTGCATTCGATCTCTTACTATAGTGTTGTATTTTCCCTGTGCCATGATCACTAGATCATCGGTTTTGTTGTTTAGAATATAGATTTTTGTTAGAGTGTTGTTAAAATTTAAAATATAGTTTGTGCAAGAAAGAATACTGTTTTTTAATTAAATAATTTTAAATTTTAAAAATGATATATATCGGATATATATCATGTGATATGATATTTATATAAATATCATGATATTTTCGAAACCTGATTTTAATTACTTTGGTTAGTTAGAATTTATTTATAATATGGGATATTAGTTTAGTTAGCATTACTACTTTTTAATTTTTGTTATTTTGCCTTAAGTGCTAAATTGCTTATCTTTTTATCTGATGATTGAGTTTTTAATAAAACGTTTTTTTTTTATTTTTTTTTCAATGTTTTCTTGACTTTCTGATATGGTCGCATGAGATTTACTTAAAAAAAAGGGGGGCGCAAAATTAAGGTTTTGCCCGGAGCGCCAAAATGTCTAGGGCCGGCCCTGGTATTATTATACAGGGTGTTATTGAAATACACGTACATATTAAAATGGGGAATAGTATGTAATGACCAAAAACGATTGGCACCAATTTTAACTTCAAATTCTAAAATTTAAATATTGGGGAAGACTCCCCTTTTCCGACCTACTAGTTTCCATATTTAAAGAAGTAAAATAAATCGAAATTGAACTTACCCATAGAAATTGCACTGTTGCCGTAGCAAAACCAATTAATTCAAAATAAAGTTTATTACAGTAATTGTTCAAAATGCCGTCCATTATTATTTACACACACTTGCAATCGTCTTTCCAAAGAACTTTGAACATTAGAAATTAGTCTTGGATTTTGTCGTAGTTCCTCGGTTACCGCATTAACTTTATTGGTTAATTGTTCAACACTATTAATAGGTTCATTATAAACCAGTTGTTTCATGTGACCCCACAAAAAGAAATCGCATGGATTTAAGTCCGGAGATCTCGGAGGCCACTTAGTAGGTCCATTTCTGCCTATCCACTTTTGAGGAAATCTAATGTTCAAAAACTGCCGTACGTTTAAATCAAAGTGAGGAGGAGCGCCATCTAGTAGGTACCACATCCGTTGCCTTAATTGTAACGGTATCTCTTCTAGGAGTACTGGCAAAATATCTTCTAAAAAGTGGAGATATCTTGGCCCATTTAATCTGTTCGGGAGAACATAAGGCCCGATTAAATACTGATCTATTATGCCAGCCCAAACATTTATTGAAAATTTTCTTTGATGCCCAGTTTTCCTAATGGCGTGAGGATTTTCATCACTCCAAATATGCGTATTGTGCATATTGAACACGCCATCACGAGTGAATGAAGTCTCGTCAGTATACAATAATATTTTTAGAAAATCAGGAATATCAACATATTTTTGAATCATCCATTCACAAAACTCCACTCTCTTTTCTTCATCACCTGGATATAAGGCCTGGACTTTTTGGATGTGATAAGGATGTAAACCTTGTTCTTTAAGTGTCCGCCACACAACAAATGAGGACACTCCAATTTCAAGACCTAGTCTTCTACAACTTAATTGAGGCCGGTTTTCAACAGCTTCCAATATTTCTTCTTCGGCCGCCAATGTTCTTTGTGTTCTTGTTCTCCCTCGATCTGCATTGACACTCTCAAATTTTCCATGGTCTCTTAGATGCTGAACAGTTGAAATAAACGTACGACAGTCCGGAATTCTCCGATTTGGAAACCGTTCGCGATACAGGATTTGTGCTTGCCGAGAATTTTCTCCAGCTGCCCCATAAACCAGCACTATATCCGTTAGTTCAATATTCGTAAATAGAGGCATCGTAAAAAAATATTTAAAAGTAATCGTAACAACACTTTTTACCAACTTGGAAATGACGCGCTCGTGTTAGCCAGATTCGTAAATCAACTAAAATTTTAATAATCTATAGTTTCAAAAATGTATAGTTTAAAAACAATCATTTATCAAATATTCTAGTTTTTTGATAACGAGGGCAGTAAAAACCAGTCTTCGGAAATAGAAATTAATTCGAAAATCTTGGCAACATGGTTATTTCTTACAAGACTAGTTTTCTTATCATCTGACAAAAACTTGCATATTAATTACTGTTGATGTTTAAAATAGGTAAATAAACCTAATTTATATAGGTCATCCTCAACATATCAGTGAAGTACATTTGTTTTAGAATTAATTTTCAAAAATTAATAACTCCCTTAATAAGGGGTATTTTTAAAAAATAATATTTTTCTACATTCAGTGGGAATCTGCGCAATACCCAGTTTTAATATGTACGTGTATTTCAATAACACCCTGTATTTTGTAAATTAGTGTAAATAAATTCATTATTATTTTCATTATTTCAAAAAAAGTGATGCGCGACAAATGTTTTTTACGACAAATTAACGGCAAGAAAGCGACGCATTATGCTTATAAAAAAATGTAATTTATGCTCATTTACGTGATTGGTAGTGCTGACTTTCCTCTAAAATTAGCATAAACAGGTTTATGTCCTAAAGGGAGCAGCGACAATTTTTTTTCACGTCAAATTTACAGCAAAAAGGCGACAAATTTTCCAATATTCAAAAATCCAAAATTCCTAAGTGGTAGGTTAGTTTTTTTAGAATTAAATGTCAAAAAATAGTATTTTCTTGATATAACTTGTACACCTGATACTTTTAAAATCTACATATTCTTTTTAGTGGTATTTTTTAACAGCAGAAGCTTTTTTCGTTGATAAAAAATTGTTTGCGGCAATTTTGTAGAGGCGCAATCTATTCAGTTCCAATTCCGAAATATCGGTTTCTCGGTAACGATGCACCTCTACGTTTTTTGGATATAGCTGCAAAAGCTTTTGCTCGCCGAACGCACTTTCAGTCGTCGAATGCTAGCCGGTGTCGAAGTGTTATCGCCTCCTGGTGCATACATACAAATCTCGCGCGGTCGACAACAACGTGTGCCCGCACGAATCAAAACATTCACTTGTTTTTGCGTTTCTTCGAGCGAATCGTCTACCCCCCGATCCCTTCATCGTGCTGGACGGTTTTTCTGCCAAGTGTTCCGGATTTTTGGATAATGTGCGGTAAGGATTTTTTTAAAGAAATTTTTGAATTTTGAAAATTTTACATTTTTGATAAAACAGATTTTAAAAAGATTTACAAATGCCACATTTTAAATTTAGTACTACTAAAAGAGTTATAAATAAAGTTATTAATACATTTTTGTAGATTTTTGGTAATTTCCAAATAGTGTTCGTCCGATTTTCAAAAATTCGGTCAATTGATTTTAAACTTAAAAAATTAAAATATTGATAATAAATGTTGCCTATTACAATTTAATTTGTATACGTACCTTAAAAAAAATATTGTTTACCTTTTTTTAACAATATGTTTGTAAACAAAATTAAAATTAGAAATGACGAAGATAGTGACACTTTTTAAAAATCCCACAATTACCATATTTTATGGAATTTTAAAAATTTGAAATTTTTATGAAACTATTGTTTTACAATTGTTAGTTATATTAAAATATTTTTAGTTGATTTTACTTATCAGTTAAAGAATGTTTTAAAGTTACCGATTTCCTTTTAAATACTTGCGGTGTTTTGTACACAAATGAATATACAACCGTATATTTTATTTACCTTTTTTTTTAATAAAAAAATGTGTAAAATGGCTTATTATTTTCGTTATTTATTACCTTCTGTCAACTGTGTAATAAAAATTCTACCGTGTTTCAAAAAGTCCACTGACCTTAGAATTATATATAAGAAAATTAACTGAATGTAATAAAACACACGTCACTATTAATGCATTAAAATTAATATACAGGGTGTCCCAGAATATGTGGGCGATCTCCCGGATTCAGATAGAACACATAAAAGTAACATGACCAGTTCCTATAATTTTTTTTTCTACACCCACATCTACGCATAGATTACAAAATGAAAAATTATGCTATTTCCTACAACTGAACGAATATATTTCATATCCATTCTAGGTAGTGACAACACTGCAAAAAATAAAATCCACCAATCACCGTTCATAGATCAACCGACTGCTATTATTTTTAAAATTTTAAATAAGTGACAATTCTGTCAAACTAATTGTCAGTATATTTTTTAGTTATTGAGATTATAGATACATAAAAATGGGTTATAGAATCGATAAATAATATAACAATTCTGATTTTATTTCGTCTATAATTATAAATAATTTGTTAATTTAAATAAATCTATATAAATTCAATTTAATTACGAGTATTAAAGCATCAGAAGTAAAATAATAGGTGGTCCTGTGGTTAGTGTTCTTGCCTTGCTCGCGGAAGACTGGAGTTCGATTCTCGGATGGGGAAAAATGAAATGAACTTTTTTTCTTTTTTTTTTCGTTTATTTTATTTTAAAAATTATTAAAAGCCATAAATTATTATAAAATTACTTATTTTGTCTTAATAACCTAAAATATTTTTTTATTTGTAAATTTTCGATAATGGGCCGTAGAAAAAATATACTGTAGATTGTCCACATATCCACTCTTGTTGCACAAACTACTATTTCTTACGTCCCTACTTTTTGGAGATATATTCCCATAATGGACACCACTGAAATTGTTTTTTTTAACATATATAATACCTTCAAGTACGTTTTTTAGGTCTTTTTTGTCATTATGATAAGACAAGGTTTATCCGCGGAACCGCGATTTTCAAAAGACCTAAAAAATATATTTACAGGTCTGCTACGTCTGCTATGTAATGATTTATTATTTTTGTAAATTATACTAATGTATGGAGTCATTCAAATTAAAAATTATATATGAATTTTCGTGCTTTTCTTATTTTGAAAGAGTAATGTTTATCAGTGGAACCGCGCATTTTTAAATACCTAAAATAGTTATTTATGTGGCATGCAATATTTTTTCTACTACCGTACACATAATCCACTAATATTAGAAATATAAAAGTTACTTTTTTTCACTAGTGAAAAAAAGTACTTTACTTTACGCACTAGTGAAAAAAAGTAAAATGTGCCAAAAATTGTACACTGCAACAAAAATAAATTTATTGGAACTTTACAAATTTATAATTCTTACAGAACAAAATGACTAACAAATGAAGAAATATTTAAAAAAATAGGTTTTTAACTCTTATGAATATTAATATTGAATGTGCAATTATTGCAATTACCAAAACTTAAGGTTTTTACCTTTTCCAGCACAGAGTTTGAAAAATGTTGTGATATTACTTCTGTAGCCCTATTTTGAGCTTCGAGTGGTATGGATTTGGCCTTTTCAAGTAAAGAGGTTGAAATATTTTGTGTAACTCTAGTTTCACTGTCGAGTGGTTCCACTAGTTCTTCATTAGAGTTGTCAACGGTAAAATTGTAGCTTTGTTTGGAAGTGGATGGCATACTGTCATCCATCAAAATTTTATTAGAAATTTTATTTTTTTGTGTTATTGTAGTGTCTACGTAGCCTTCTGCAACAGCAGATGATTTCCATCCTCCATGTTTTTTGACCTATAGAAGGTCTCCTCCAGAATTTGCCAGCATATTGGCTAAATGCCTCCTAAAGCAGTGTCTTGTAAAAGCCGTTGGATTGGGCAAGTTTAGATACGTTGCTATAACACTTGGCATTTTACCAAAAGTATTTATCCCTACAGGCTGTTTAGAATATTTTCCATTTGCACACTTGGCATTTTACCAAAAGTATTTATCCCTACAGGCTGTTTAGAATATTTTCCATTTGCGAATTTTAAAAAAAATCTGTTACAATTTATAGTTGATGGTCTTAATGAGGTATATGTTTTTATGAAAGATAAATAATCAACTGCAGAATTATTTGGATTTAAAATCGTAAAAATGCGTTCTATTCCATTTTTGGTTTCTGATACTTTGACAATATACACTGTTTGTTTATCTTCCACATCGTTAATTGTCATTTTACATCATTCTTCCCGGCGACAAGCTCCCGCAATTCCAATTATAAAAGCTACCTAAAAAATAACATATTGTAATGTTACAAATAATTTATTAAACATTAGGAAATATCTTGACGTTGCGCATGTAAAACTCTAAATAAATGCTATTGTAAAAAATATAAAAGTTTTAGGTATAATGTGCTGCCTAACAACCCCGGTGGCCTGTTAGGACAGCAACTGATTTTGTTAGGCAACACACCATACGAACACACATCTCGTTGCAAAACTTTACAGAATATTTTAATTTTATACTGAGCATTCAAGCATTTACTGAGACATTTACTTACTTTGATCATTAAAAACTTGGAATCTGGAACTTTCAACAGAAAATTAATTAGATCTTCTCGTTCAAAAATTTTGGATTTTTTTGGTTTATAACCTTTATTTTTTTGTTTGAGAAACGCTATTAACTTGTTGAATTTCGAAATATCAACGTTGTTTTTATATTTTAAGGTGCTTTTAAGCATAGAATAAATCGACCATATGGTAGAAGCTTTGCAATTCTTCAATTCATCAGAGAAATATGCTAAAATAACGTTTTCCGAATATTTTGTCACCTTATTCTTCCTACACCATTCTATAAATGCATTGTATTTTTGCTGATAAATATATGCAGATTTTTCTGGCAATAAATTTTCAGTGGCCTTTTGTGCACTGCATAAGATATCTGGGGGAGTATTATCAAATTCGCTATCGCTAGATTAATTTGAATCCATATCGATTATGACAGATATAATAAACTGCAAATAAAATTTGAATTTATGTAAACAAACATTAAAAAGTAAAACTTTTTACCTTCTCAAACTTGATTGAGTTTAAAAAAATGCTAAATTGGCTTTAGAATCTAATCTTGAACTTAAGTACCTATACTTTTGTCGTGTTCTGTTATAAGGTAGGTACTAATTAAAAGTTTAGAGATTGACAGTTCTTCTAATCCACACAGCCACGGCCAACTTACTTTACCAAAATCGACATCCACTGATGTTTACTTTTAATTAAATCGATGACATTTAGAGAAAATTATAATTAAAATAAACTGTTGATAAGTTGTTGGACACTAAATAGATATAAGCAAAATTAATTTATTTATTTGTCTTAGAAGGAGATAGCAAAAAAATGTTAATATAAAATAAAACGTTATATTTTGTTGTTATGTACAAATTTTGTCAAATTTTACTTTTTTTAACTAGTGCGTAAAGAGTTTTACTTTACGCACTAGTGAAAAAAAGTACAACTTTACACACTTCGTGGAGTGCGTAAAGTACGTACATTACGCACAGTAGTAGAAAAACATATTTATAGGTTTTGCTAAGTATTGATTTATTATTTTTTTGAATTATACTAATGTATGGTGTCATTCATACTAAAAATTATATGTAGATTTTCGGGCTAAATGTTGATTTTCCTCATTTTGAAAGAGTAATGTTTACAGCGGAACCGAGCATTTTTAAATACCTAAAAAACATATTTAGAGATCTTGCTATGTAATGATTTATCGTTTTTTTGAATGATACTAAAGCACAGTGAGACAATAAGCAATTTTAAGAAATATTAATTATAATTTTGAATATTTTTTAGAAAGATTTATTTTCAAATAAAGTAAGTCTTAGAATATCCCCCTAAGTACTTAATAACAGGTAACAAACTTCCTATTTTTCATGTTTTTTTTGTGAAAACGTCTCAAACATAAGCCTAGACTGTTACGTTTTGTATTTCTGTTGTGCAGTGCTTATCTACTCATGTTTTTAAATGCGGCATTGTGTTCTATTTACCCTTCCTATGAGGCCTCAGTATTGAATTCGTGCAGACGAAAAAATTTTCTGACCCCCATTTTTTAAAACTTTTTTTCATGTTTCTGATCATTCTGAATCCGAAAATCCAAAAAAAAAGTTTCGTCCGGTCGTCTGTATGTATGTATGCCGGCACGATAACTCTAGAACGAAAGTTCTGATTGTCCTTATTTAGGAGGGAACTTTTTAAAAGCAAGCTCAAATCAGACTCAAAAATAAAATCGCTGCAGTTTTAGATTATATTATGGAGAAATTTCAAATGGGTGAAAAGTACTGGTCATCACAATGTGTAAATTTTACTGGTAAATTTTTTGAAAAA